AGAGAGAGAGAGAGAGAGAGAGAGAGAGAGAGAGAGAGAGAGAGAGAGAGAGAGAGAGAGAGAGAGAGAGACAGAGAGAGAGAGAGAGAGTTTGGGTGTACCAGAGCCGGTTGAACCTCCGGAATGAGATCACTCGACACGAGTCGCCCTTGGCTCGATAGTTTGCCGTTTGCTCCAGCGTACACGTTGCTGAGCTCGACGAGAGAAACGGTTGTCTCGTTTGTGCTTTTATTGTAGGTCACCACCTTTGCCCGCCTGGGAGGCAACTCCAGCCTCGGCGATCGCAGGGTGTTCGGCATTGGCGGGAAGGATTGGAAGAAATATGCATCCGCAAAAGCCGCGATCACATCCTTCTCCGGCTCGAAGAGCACGCATTCCATGAAGCGCATCGCATCTCTTACCTGTCATTGGCCCTTGCAACAATCAGAGACATCGAGCAAAAGTAATCACAAAAGAACTTGATCGAAATTGAATTAAATTTGATTTCCAAATTTTGAATGGGATTTGAATGAAATTTGATTGGCCCTTGCAACAACCAGACTGATTGATGATAGGGGTGGAGTCGACGCATACAACAGCATTTCTGTACATCGAGACAAAAAAAAAAAAAAAAAAAAAAAAAAAAAAAAAAAAAAAAACAAGAGAGGGTTTAGGGCTTAGGGTTTCGGGCAGCTCACAGATAGTAACTCAATTTCAACTCTCAATCGGAAAGCACCTCGAAATTGACGAAAAACAGTCAGTCTGAGAGGCATAGAGCAAGATAATGAAATATGAATTAAATAATTTCAGTTGGAATTCAAAATTTTGAATGGGATTCGGATTAAATTTGAATTTGAAAATCTACTGGGCCTAGTTGGTAAAAGGCACGCAAGTGGCATTCAGGAGGTCTTGGGTTCAATCCCCATAATTTGGCCTCATGTACCTTCCTGGGCAAGCTTGGTGCCCACAACCTAGAGATAGGCCCTTGGTCCCCCGCCGTGGCATTGAGCAGAGAGTGCTGATGTTCATAGGGGGAGGCGACCGGACGGACGCACAGCGACTGGCCCATCGACAAAGCTCGATCCTGATGCTACCGGCTGACCCCTGGCCACTATCGCCCACCACCTCCTATAGCAGGCATCACACCTGCTGGTGGGGTTGCAGCTCCCGCATGTTCCCTCGTTGGACGCTTGAGCACGGATGTGGCTGCTACGGGATTGAATTTCCCCGTATAATGACAATAAAAAAAGGCCTGAAAGACCGTCCTGTCCAGATTCTTTGTAACCAGCACTTAATCCTCCCTTAGGGATCCTGAGGGTTGTGAGCATTCGTAGGACCTCTGTGGCAACAGGTGCAGCTCCCCACCAATGGAACGGAGCCATCTACCAAACAGGGAGAATAGAGGGGGTGTCTGCTCTTATCAGCATCCCCTCTATTCCCCATCAAGGATGTTCTTGAAAAAAAAAAAAAAAAAAAACAGGACCTCTGTGGCAACCTATTGCATGAGTAGTTCATTAATAGGTCATTAGATATGCATGATCCTCCCCATGCTTTCTGAATCACATCGTATTCACAGACTGGTCTCAGCCAAAGCCAGGTAATGGCTCCGGTATCTCAAATGATCTCAAATGATCTCAACGATCTGTACAATTCGATATGGGGCTCTGGGCCCGGTTCCCAGCACTTGCTGCTCCCCACAAATAGACTGGAGCACTTGTTTTCAAAAAAAAAAAAAAAAAAAAATCCTCCCTTTTTGGGAAGTAATAAAAAGCAAAAACAAACAAACAAACTAACGAAAAACAACAAAATTGATAACCAGGGTGCTCCCTGCAAGGCTGGTGTGTGTTGAGTTGGACACTACAGCCTTGCAGGTGTGGGGTGGATATCAGGACCGGTATGATTCCACTTTTGAACACCATGCCATGGCTCTAGTGGTCAAGATACTTGGCTCTCAAGGCCGATTCCACAGAGTAATCAATGGCGCCATTGGTCCGGAGCCCCGCTTCGACTTTGAATCCAAGATCGGATACGAGACTGACTGGGCCCTTTGCAACCTCCCATCAGGAGTCTGGCTCACGCAGCGAAGAGCAGTACTACACGATGAAACCCAGCCTGAGGCACATCCGAAGGTCCGAACCAATGGGGTAGAAAACTTTATTCAAACGAGCTCCATATCTTACAGCAGATGCGCAGAATGCCCACGAATCTTGAATGGACATGGTGCAGTTACAATTAGTGAATAACTATAGAAGGAGACCTCCTTGTTAACGACAAAAAAAAGAAAGCATACGGAAGGAGAGCGCCGACAAAAGCGTACAATGCTGCCCCCTCATCAGGTCTGTCGTTTTGGAAGGTCTCTGCCTGGTTCTGTGAAGCCTTTTTTTTTTTTCTATAACCGAAAATCCTGCTAGGAGAGGTGATTCCTGGGTAAGCTTGGCGCCCGCCACCTAGAGATATGCCCTTGGTCCCCCCGAGTGGCATTGAGCAGAGATTGCTGATGTTCGTAGGTGGAGGGGACCGAAGGGGAGGCACAGTGACTGGCACATCGAACAAGCTCGGTCCTGATGCTACTGGCTGACCCCTGGCCAGAATCGCCCACCTGCTGTAGCAGGTATCACACCTGCTGGTGGGTGCGGCTCCCGCATGTTCCCTTGTTGGAGGCTTGAGCACGGATGTGGCTGCTACGGGGTTCCCCGTAATACTATAATGACAATAAAAAAAGGCCTGAAAGGTCGTCCTGTCCAGGTTCAACAGGTAATTGAATTGGCTGGGCTTAAGGAATTAGCCTTTAAAAAAAAAAAAAAAAAAAA